ATCCCTACTCCAAATCTACGTGTCAGGGTCGCGTGAGATTTCCACTTTGCTTAGACTAACCTTATCCTTTGGCATGTGTAAACACGAGGAATGCTACGACTGAAGTAAGAGCCAAGACCATGAGAACACTAGTGGTAATGGCGGACGCCTCCCAGCGGCTGAAACTTTCCATTTCCACGAGTTCCTCCTGAGCGTACCCATTCTCCTGGCGATTAAGCAGCTCATATTCATTACTAGAAGATCTCTGATGAGTCAGATAGTATTTACGACGAATAGCAGCCTTACCTTGAGCGTGTCATCGGGATGTTTTGAAGGGAATGGCGGAGGGCAAGTCGTCCATAGCTGTGTCACTCGCATTTAGGACAAGCCTTGGATAGCCTTATGGCTGTCGCCTAGAACTCTTCGACGACCGAGGGAATTTTTTTCAGACTCGAACTTTGGTTTCTCTTTTTGCCACTGATTCAGATTTTATGACTTTTTTTTTACATTGGGCCACGACGCTAAAAGCGCCGACAGAATTGAATCCCTTCGGCCTTCTAAGTGCTGGTCTAGATTTATCACCCATCACTCGACGAGTCTACACCGTAGATAACACACAAATATTTGGCTTAAGATTTCTATTTCAGCAGGCATTCAATAGCTAATAAAAGGTGCGGTTATTTCTGGCTTCTTAGTGTGGTGTTCAAAGCTGCGCCGGTCAGACACCCGATTCGGCTGTATCAAATACAAAGAGAATTAAGCCTCATCTGTTTAAAATCGTTCTTCAGATCGAAAGGTTCATATTATTGGTAATAATGTGTCAGCTAAGCTGTCATATTGATATATATGATCATCATAGTCATAGATCTCCAGTCAATGTAATCAAGAAGGAGCATTCGTTAAAAGTAAATTGGTGCTTATCCAGGGAAAGCCCCAGGTATCACAGATCGTCGTCGTTCGGGATGGTGGAAGTAGGTCGAATGTCGTTTGGTACGCGAGCCCACAGTTCCAGCTCCGTCAGCCCCTGCTTCAGGATCAGGGGTTGAGTTACCGCTATTGTCTTCGGGTGTGTCTGTCTCTCCAGATACTTCGCCATAATCTGAATCACTATCGCCTTGCGCTATCCGGTCGTAGTACTCTTCTCCATCTGGAAGCGTAATGATTCCTGTCGCCGGATCGAAGCTCAAGCGATTAGAAAGGGTGCGTGCAGGTTGTGGGCGGTCGTTTGCTGATGTAGAGGCCACAGAGACACTGGAGGATGGTCGAGAGATGCCCTGGGTACTGGCGTCGCCTGGGGAAAGTAATTGCGGTTGAGATGGATTTACTAGTGCATTCTCGGGGGGTTGATCGGGGTGTTGGACTTTGCCAGTAAATGTGCCGAGCATGGCTTGTCCACGC